GCGCGGGAGAGCCCAGTGCTGGTGTATAAGCCCGCTTGGGAGCCCTGCTAGCACCTGCCCCGGGGTTGCTGTGCTGAGCACCGCACCCTCCCCCGCCCCTGAGCGCTCACGGCTGCGGTGTGAGGTCTGCCGGCTACCGTGCCATGTTTCTTGGCTTGCAAGCTCTGTGGGGCGGGGTGGCGGAAGGGGAGTAGGGGCTTGGTTTAAAATAGCAATTCCAAGCGGGAGGGGAAGCAGAGAGGTCGGGCTGGACATAGGGGATTTTGGCTCCCGCTGCGACTTGCGCCAGGGCTCCCCCTTTTAAAGAGGTAATGTGCTGTTTCTTGTAGCCACTTAACCGTTACGACTTGGCTGCAAGGGAGGTTAATTGGATGTTGATACCTTATTACTTGTGCGGTGAGTTAAGAAAGCCAGATTTGTCTGAGCTGCGTTTGCTGCAACTGTTCACAGAGTTCTCCTGTGCTGCTTGACATACGAGATGGCATCACATTTGATCCCATTCACTCAACAAACCTCCCATTGGTGAGTTGTTACATGTGCACTTTGTTGTCAGCTGGCCTTTGGACACAAGACCTGCCTGAAATGCAGGTGGTCCCTCTAAGATTAGAATGATCTTTTTAAGCTAGTTTCTACAATGACTTGGTCTTGAAATAATAGGTTTAAGAGAGGATTTCTGTTAGCTGTGTCTGGTATTTAGAGTTGAGTATTGAGAGGGGTTTTGCCTGCTTGTTGCTATGTAATGTATGTACACACTTTTGTTTTAGGTTTAAATAATTATTAACTCCCTTTGTCAAATTAAACTATTACAATGAGAAGGAACCTTCAATATCAGTTCTTCAGAATACTTAAGGCCAATAGAATACTTGACAGATAAAATTACCTTTTAAAATGCATGTATGTATATTTAAATTTTCCTCATTAATCTGTGTCAGAATAAACTGAGTTATGTGTGGAATTTTGTTTTTACAACTCTAGCTTTGCAACTTCGAACACTTTCTTGAAGTATTTTCTCTGGAAAGTTGTTTCAAATGAGTGCTGTAAGCTTTAACAAAGAAGAGTGTTGTTCAGGAGCCAACAGGTGACGGGGTGAAACCTGAGTATATGTGTACATTGGAGTGAAGTCTGGCTGCTGTTTCCTACAGTCGTTGTTTAAAATAGAAATAAAAAAAATCAGTAGGAGACTGTAAAAGGCTAGGTTTCTTTTTCTCGCTCTCTTTAAATCTGTGTACCCCATTATGGAAAATAAAGATTTCACTAGACAGTGCTTCCTAAACTATTGGTAGTTCTCTCACAGCATGCAGTTTGTATTTATATCTGAAGATGGAGCCAAATAAAATAGACCAAATCAGACATTCTGGCAAAGACAATGCTTTGTCACAATTTCCTCCTTTTGTTAAATTTAAGTAGTCTGCCATTGCGATATCAGAAGACATTATTCATGAAAATAAAAGTCTGAAATCACAGACGAAATTAATGCTAGGTTTGCAGCAAAAAAAAATATTTATTTTGACTGAGGGTGGCTGGAGTATACATACTGGAGTAGGCATTATTTAGAAAATGTAGAAAACACATCAGCTTGATTTACTCTTAAAGTCAATTTAATATATAGTTAGCCCTGAATATGCTGTAGCAGTATTTGACAGTCCACTAGATATTCTGTAAATGTAATAAGTTAAAGCTCTGAAGCAGTTGCGTCTGAGTCTTCGTGATAATGCCTAACACCTAAGTTGCAATATTTGGAACTGGTCCAAATTTCTTTGTTCAGGATGCCAAATCTGATAACTTAATTTTTGAAATTTAGCAAAACATCAGATATGTTTAACAGGAAAGCTGAAAACAACAAATTAGTTGCAGCAGTAAAGGGGGCTTTTTTCTACTAATGCTTATGGCATTATTGGAAACACACTGAATAGTCCTGATACAGTACTTGGTTTTTGGTTGTATTACTATTACGACTTTCTTGCTCCTCTTTCTGGTGAATTATCATATGAGGTAGAATGGCAATCCCATTCACCTGCTTATTTAACCCCTAATCTTAACCCTTTGGGCTGCAGTTGCAGTGTATTGTGAATGGATGAATGTGATATGCATCTTGTATTCCCTATAGCCTTGTTAACAAGCAGTTTAACAAAAAAGTTGTTAAACAATTTGCCCTGCAGCATAGAGTTGAACAGCAGGGGATGGGAAAGGAAATGTGTGTCTTACTGGGCTCACAAATCATGACCTCTTCTATCTGGTCAGAGGTGACCATAGAACTTACTCAGTGAGCTGGAAATCCTAACATAAGGATTAGTTTCACACTTGAATTCAACAGTTCTGTAATATCCTTTCTGTAGGATGTGTGTTTTTAATATTTTATGCAACACAATGGATTTATAATTATTCCAAGAACATTTTATATTGTTAGTGAGTCTAGATAACAATAGACCTCAGTTTCACTGTGTATATCTAACACACTTTTCTTTAATCCAGTTATATGGCTAACAACTGAAGCCACTAGTGAAAGATTTTTCTTTGTAGATTGTGAACTTTCATTAGTGAGGTAGTGCTTGTAGCTCTTAAAAACAAACTCATTTTATTGTGTAGATGTAGCGTAGAATCCCTTCTTCCAACAAATAAATCTATTTTTCAATGACTCTACATATGCCACTGTTATCATATGTAACCACTTTGAAGCCTGTTACTTTGAAGAATGAGTGCAACCGAAAAACACTTTGTCTCCAATACTGCAGTTTTAATTTTCAAACTGATTTACAGACTCTTAGAAAGGTTGAGAAGGTAATACTCTATGGCTACGTCTAGACTGGCATGATTTTTCGGAAATGCTTTTAATGGGAAAGTTTTCCGTTAAAAGCATTTTCAGAACAGAGCATCTAGATTGGCACGAATGCTTTTCCGCAAAAGCACTTTTTGCGGAAAAGCGTCCGTGCCAATCTAGACGCGCTTTTCCGTAAAAAAGCCCCGATCGCTATTTTTGCGATCGGGGCTTTTTTGCGAAAAACAAAGCTGAGCTATCTACACTGGCCCTTTTGCACAAAAGTTTTGTGCAAGAGGACTTTTGCCCGAGCGGGAACAGCATAGTATTTCCGCAAGAACACTGACAATCTTACATGAGATCGTCAGTGCTTTTGCGGAAATTCAAGCAGCCAGTGTAGACAGCTGGCAAGTTTTTCCGGAAAAGCAGCTGATTTTCCGGAAAAACTGGCCAGTCTAGACACAGCCAGCCTATGAGAGTAAATGAGAGTTTAAATACTGATTGTATTTTTAGTTTTCAAATACTTAAAGTTCAAAAACACTTAAAATAAATCCAATATGGTTTAACTTACGATGTTTTTGGTATCTGGAATGCTTCCAACCTTCCATTGAATAGAGGTTTAAATGGTAATTTATAGATATAGGGGCATGCATGGTTTGTGATACTACTTCCTTATCTTTACCAAAACCAACATATTGGATAGCAACCTTGCCCTTTTTAAAATTTAGTTTTTCAAGGGAAGGGCTACTTTCCTTCACTCTCACTCAGTAGAAATTGTTGAGGTTTTCCTTCATGTTAAGACTTACCCTTCTTTATAATATGCACCGATATAACAATTTGAGTTTTAATTTATTTGGGTTTACTAAATTTACCACTTCAGCAAAAACTGCCATCAAATTTTAGATTTATTTAACATCTGACATAGTTTGTGCAATAAAGCAGTTTTTACAGTGGCTTGGGTAGGAGTTCTACTGTTGTACTTAGAATAATGAGTTATAATGTAAGCAATTTTATTACTGTGCTGCTGTGCACTGCAGTAATAGTCTGGCATCTCTAAGAAACATTTTTTCCAGAGTTTATATAACTTTGTTATTCTAACTATCAGTGGGCTAAAATTAATGGATACATTCTCAAGGCATGTGTAAAACTTCATTATTTGTGTTTTGGAATCTTAGTATTATAGCAACAGCAAAATAATCCTGTTTTTTGTTTCATCTTTTTTGTGAGGGAAGGAAGGCATGGAGTAGCTCAACTCATCCTGGTGTTAATGATAAATGTGTGTCTTTAAAAATACATGGTGTCTACTGCCATTTTTGTTGGATGCTTGAAGGATTATAGCAACAGCAAGGAAGAAGAGTCAAATACAGTTCCTCAGGCATTGTCCATGAGGAAAAATTTTAAGTCCTTCCATTACTGCCCTAGCACTGATATAACTTCATAGACACTGGCAGTGATGGGACTGGTAATGTGTCCAGCCACAAGCATTATACTGCTGTGATGTTTAGACTTGTTTTGAGAGGGATTATGTACCATGCTGGTAAAATTTTCTGTAAGTGGTCTAGCACAGTGGTGTGCAACTCCCAAGTGGGTTGCAGATGTCTTCCTGGGGGTGGGCATAAACCCTGGCCGCTCGGATGTAAGCGCTGCACCATAGGGCTGCCAATGGCTAGGCCCAGCCCCTGGCCAGCTGGATCTAAGTGCTGTGCTGCAGGGCTGCCAACGGCCAGGCCCACATCTAAGCACCGCGCCACTCAAATTACCTTGGGGGTTGCGACACGAGTGCAATAAAATATGGGGGTCTTGGGTTGAAAAATGGTTGTGTACCACTAGTCTAGCATCAGAGGAGTTGCAGCAGTATTTAGGCCAATGATAAGAGAGTTGCCTGAAATTTTGTAAATGTAGCTTACGAGTGCAATGCTATCCTGTTGGAGGAAATGCCTTTTCAATCTCAGATGGTTAGGATAATTGGCTTGCCAAGACGTAATTAATGTTGCTGAAGATCAGCATGCTAAGCATATAATCAGTAGACAACTCTTCCCTTAATGATTTATTTTAGAGTACAGGACTACTCATTTTTACCACAACAGTATTTCAAAATATTAAACTTGGTTGATGCCCTTCTACTTCCACTCTCAAGATCACTTCTATAAGGCTTTTCCTGTTTTGCTAACTCTTCTGTAATGTCATCTTTGGGAACAGCTTCTTGATGAACTGCAACTGAGTAGCTGACACTTCACACTACACTATGCCTTTGGAGATGGAGCCAAAAGTTAACAATCTTACCTTTGGGTGTCAACGAAGCTCAACATCTGATGACGACTCTGGCTGTGCCTTGGAAGAATATACCTGGGTTCCACCAGGTCTTAGACCAGAACAGGTAGGGATCAAGACTCTTATTTTTTTTAATTAATAAAAATATCTGTAATTTCATGTCTTACCAAATATTGTGTGTTGCCACTGATGAAAGCGTTGTATAGCTACTTAATACATAAGTTAGGTGAGCTTTAGCAGATTTTTTTTTATGGTGACTATCTTAATGGAGAAATTAAAACACTTCGGTTATTGGAGAACCTATATTAAAAATAAGTCTCTAGTGGAAGATTTTTAAATTGAAATAGCCTGTATTTTTCTAAATAAGTAAACACTTCCCTTATGTATGAAATGGGATGTTTCTTTAAATATGATATATTTCAGTGAAACTATTTCTGGCAGTGATTTAAAATTACACAACTGTATATATTGCCACTTAATTCTGGAGTTACTCGTACGGATGGAGAGGAAAAGAGATTAGGACTGTGCACATTTTTGTTTTGGACAGTGGTTTTTCCTCAACTAAACTGCCTACAACTGAAAATGTTTCTAAGTATAAGAAAATAATGAAAATAGGACAATGACACTAATTGCTAAAGGGGAAAGCTGCAATATTGATCAAATGTTCAAAAATAAGTTCTTAAATAAAATTCTAATATGGTTAGTTTAAAATAAGATCCAGCAACAATACTGCAGGATCTGGTATAGATGATTCATAAGATGTTTGACCAGCATTAGCAATCAATTCTTTTACTCCTGTATAAGTGGGTAGTATGACTACAAATCAGTGTGTGACAGAAAGGTATGAGCATTTCTAGTTCAGTGGTCTTCTGATGTATGCAGGAGCAAAAGATCTACTTTTTTGTTTTCTAGAAATTTTCTCTTCATGATTAAATTAAGAACAAGCCAGCAAGATCCATACGTGATGCACCACCATGAAGGCTTTAATCATAATCTAAATACACCAGAGAAATCAGACCAAGGGGGAGCAACTAGCTAACACATACTTGAGTGGTTCCCAATCTTTTTTAGGGATTTTCTGGACCAGTAACATTTTATTTGCATATTCACTATACAAATTCATTTGCATAAAATCATTAAGATCAGAGTTTGCAGATATCTACAACACAAAAAATTCTGTTAATCTTTTCCTTTCTTAATTTAAGCCATTAACACCTATGTAAACTTTATTTGAAATAAAAGACAGGACTATGCAGCACTTTACATTTATTTATTTGAAATGTAATCATGCAAATGTCATGAGCTAGGCCTTTTGTTCCAGTATGCAAAAGCAGCCTAAAAGCTGTTAACCTACCTGAAATTTTGGCACCATCCCATTCAGCAGGGGTCTGCAAACCACAGCCAAACTACATCAAAATTCAGAACAAGTGGTCAACAAAGAGCTGTATAAGAATGCTCATTTGCATGACTGAAAATATACAGTGGAATATTGATAATTGACTTGATTAATAATAGCATAAATTAAACACTGTACTCACACTTTATTTAATGGGACTTCTGCTGCTGCATCTTTTTGCACATTTTTTTGAAGTTTACAGCCCTGACCCCCAGAGCTGCCTTGAATAGCTTCAGCTGCTGTGTGGTGGCTCAGGGGGCCAGTGCTGGAGCCCACCCCAGCCCCGTGAGCTGCCACACAGCAGCTGGCTTCAGCTCTGGCAACCGCCTGCCATTCGCCTGGGGTATACCCCAGACTCATGGGCATGCCTGGCAGCTAGTGATTCGTGCCTGGCAAAGTGGCAGTTAAGAACCACTGACCTTCTTGAAACTCTTAAGGGAAATGCAGCAGAAATTAGTCATTCCAGGTATTCAAGACTTAAATATCAGTGGCATTTTTTATTAGTGCTATGTGAGAAATGGCCAGAGCGCAAACTAACCCTAGAAAGTTCCTACTTACTCCATGTTCTATTTGTTCCTTGACAATAAAGTCTGTTGGTAAATGGACTTAAAGTAAACTCTGTTGAAACTCACTGATGTTTTGAGACAGAATTGACCCTTAGAGTGATTCACTAAAACACCTAATAAATGGTTGACCAAAACAGTATTTAAATACAGATAGCAGGTAATGACAGGAACAATCACTTCTTATTTATAGCCTGAGGTCTTATGATGAGTTGGAAACAGAACAGAAAAAATAGTGTGTATTTGTTTTCCACAAAATATATGTTTTGCTATTGGGCTTTGTCATAGCATTCATTACAGTTTTCCTGTCATAAGTTTCTACAGGTTGAAACTCTCTTAACCAGGATTCTCTGGTCCGGCAACATCCATGGTCTGAGTTGGATGTTTCAGGACCAGAGTCCTGGTGGAGGGCTAATGGCAAGGATCCCTGCGGGGCCGGCAGGGCAGTGGGCTTCCCGCAGTTAGCCCGCCATCAGTGCATGGCAGCAGGTCTGCCCTTCAGGGTTGGGAGACATGTGTGTGGCTGCCCAGGGGGGCTGAGAGCTGCAGTAGCTCAGTGGGGCAGGGATCCATGCTGTGCAGCTGCCTGGCACGTCCCGGAGCCCCAGTGTGGCTGCGCCGTGGGTCCCCGAGCCCCAGCACGACACGCTCGGCTGGTCCCAGAGGCAGGGCAGCGATGGCTGGTCAGCAGGGTAGCAGAGCCAGTAGCAGGTGAGGAGCCTGCTGGGAGGCCAGCAGGCCGGGCTGGGTGCTGGCAGTGGGTCCAGAAATGATCTCCCCTGGTCCAGCAACATCTCTTATCCAGGACCAGTCAGGTCCCGAAGGTTCCAGACCAGGGAGGTTCAACCTGAACTGATAAAATGAAATAAAGACTACTCTGAGAAGACTCAAGTCAGCATAATGTGTTTTGCTTTCCTTGTCGAGCATAAAAACCTTATGAAAATTTCAAAGTGAACTTGTATCTGGTAAAATATGGCTGGATCCAACCCCTTCCTCCCAAAAGAAAGATGATTTTAGCTTCTTACCAAAAGCTCACATGGTAGCATTGAAAGCTGATGCCTGTGAAGAACCTGGTTAACAGGAGATTACAAAACAGTTTTTGTCTCAGCAATGTGTAAGATGCACAGAGCAAATTAAAGTTGTTCCTGTAGTGATTGTTTTCATTACAGCTTCATACACTGTGTTAAATTGCAAAGGGAAATTTGGAACTTCAACAGGCTTGCTGATCAACCTTAAAAGGGGTGGAAATAATGATAGCATTAAATGTGCATAATTTATGATACCCATAATTGTCACTGCAAATTGCATTCCAGAAAAGCAATTCAGCAGCTGGATGCTAGTTGTGGCAAAGACAATCCAGTTCTGCTGCATTTGCTCATCTGGTCCTCATATTACCTAGAGGAATGCAAATGTTGTCACAGATCTAATGTAGCATATCTTAGTTCCTTTGTAAATGTGACTTCAGATAAGATACCAGTTGAAGGACATTTACAATGTTTGGGTCACATGTACCCTTCTAGTTTTAATTCTTAACTCCTATTCAGATTCAGCTGTACTTCGCCTGTTTGCCGGAGGAGAAGGTCCCTTACATTAACAGCCCTGGAGAAAAACATAGAATTAAACAGCTTCTATACCAGTTGCCACCCCATGATAATGAGGTAACAATGGAATTTAATTGTGGCCATGTATCTGTGAACTATATGTTTCTTTTTTTAAATAGCAGAAATTATCTTCCTCTGGACATGCAAGTCTAAAATGTCACATGCAAATGGCCTCTAATCCATAAAGATGACATACACTGTGTTGGACATTGTCAAATCCATTGCTTAGCTGTCCATTTCAGTTATGTTCAGATAAGAGCTGTCTAGGAGGACATTGTTTTCTCTTGTTAAGAAGGTGGGCAGTCAATGCAATAAACTTAACACAAGTTAGTTTTATAGTGTTTGCAACCACCCACCAAATTACAAGGAACCTACACATTCTTGAGATTTCATTGTAGCATATAGAAAGGATGCTTTGTTGCAGTTAAAGGTTTGAAGCTTTGGCATGACTCTGTATTATAGGGCAGAAGTGGAAGTAACAAACATTTCTGTAGAAAGAAGTCAATACTTAAGTTCTTGTGTACACTGGAATACACATTGTTTCATTGTGGTCTGTAAATTTTAAAATGCTCCATCCAGACAGATTCTTTATAAATTACATTTGGCAGCAGTTCTATTTTTAGGTAGCAATAGTTTCGTATACTGTTGATTTGCTATATTTTAACAAAGAATTCACATAATGTCTTTTCACATATCTGGTGTTATAATGTGGAGAAATTAATATATATATTGTAGGAAATAAAACATGTGGGAAATCTTAGGAAGGAATTGCACAGGAATGTTGATTGTTATAAAAATATATATTTTTAGTTACTACTGAGAAGTAAATAACCAGTAAGGTTGGTGTCTAAAGCATGTACTCTCTCTTTTTTCTTGAAGGTAAGATATTGTCAATCTTTAAGTGAAGAAGAGAAGAAGGAACTACAAATGTTTAGTGTTCAGCGTAAGAAGGAGGCATTGGGAAGAGGAACTATTAAACTACTCTCAAGAGCAGTAATGCATGCAATTTGTGAACAGGTAACCTTGTGGCAATAGAAATAAAGCTAGCTGTTGCATAGATCTTACACATTTGTTGATGCTACATATAGGCTCTTGTGTGTCTGTACTCAGGAAGGCTAATAAAGAGATGTAAACTACAGGACGTTTATAAATTCCCTGTAGAAGATGATGGTTTATTTTTTTTAAAGTTATATTTAATTTTCACATTTGTACTTATTGTGTCTGTGTATATACAAATTTTTAAGAGTAGGTAACATTGTCAAATATAAACACACTAAGTGAGTGCATGAGTAAAAGTTCTGCATGAGAATTGTGTACAATTCAAGATCATTAGAATTGCTATATACAATGGAAGAACTATTTTTACACTGTTTTGGGCTTAATGTTTTGGTTTAACTAAAATAAAAACAAAGGCTGGTATTCCTGTAGAGGAAGTATATTAACTTCTGTTGGTTATTTCTAGTGTGGGACAAAAGTAAATGGTGGTGAAGTTGCAGTATTTGCTTCAAGAGCTGGACCTGGAGTGTGCTGGCATCCATCATGTTTTGTGTGCTCTACATGTAATGAGCTTCTCGTTGACTTAATCTACTTTTATCAAGATGGAAAAATTCACTGTGGTAGACACCATGCTGAACTTCTTAAACCCCGCTGCTCAGCATGTGATGAGGTAAACAACAGTTTTTTACCATCAGCTCTTTCACAGAACCCACCGTTAATGGATAAAATGTCACATCAACTTTCTCAATTAAACAGACTTGAATATATGTACCCTAAGATAACAAAGACTGTATCCTAAACCTACCTATATATTTAAGAAAAACTTAAACAATGAATAGTTTAGTAGCACCTTAAAGACTAACAAAACACGTAGATGGTATCATGAGCTTTCGTGGGCAAAACCTACTTTTTAGAAATGTGCATCTGTCTCTGTCTGAGAGTTTTTGTTCAAGAACTCCTTCTAAACGATAAGAGCTAGGACCAACAAATTTGGTATGCAGCTTTCTCTTCTCCAACTTAAAGCAAGTTCAGGATTTGGTTGTGCCAAGAAAATGGGAAGTACTGAATATGGGACTGTTTTCCAGAACATGGAAAGGGAGGGGGCAGAGAGAGAAGAGAGATGATATTCACTGGAGGCAGAGGGGGCAAGGGAGAGCTATACTGCAGAGTAACCATTGTGAGCATTCGTAGCGCTAAAAGATTGGCCAGAGTTGGTGTTGGTGTTGGCCACCCATGGGAAGGGCCAGAAGGGATCCCTGCCAGCCCCTTGCCCTAAAGGAATCCAAGGCAATGCTATGTAAGTCTTTCAGTATTACAGATGTAAATGTGAACAATCCCTTCAGTCTCCAAAACATACCTTGTTAAATTAACTGCTATAAGACTGAGATAAAAGGAAAACACGTACACATTCCAGAAAAATGGTTATTGCTAACTTTATCAGTCACACCTCAGATAATTGGAAATAGCTGACTTATGCTCTAATTTTAGTTACTTTTAGGACAACCGGCCTACTTTTAAAAAATGCTTATCAATTTTACTTAGCAAATGTGACAGCCTTTTGCCTTAACTATGTTGCTACAGATGATCTTGTATTTTTAAGTATTAAATACTTCAGATTCACAGAAATTCTGAATTATGTCATTATAAATGACACTGGTGGTCTGTTAACTACCAAAGAAATAAGTTCTTTTTTCACATGAAATTGTCATGAGTCCAAGCAGCCTTATTAATGCCTGCCTAAAAAAATATTTTTATTTTTTAAGATTATCTTTGCTGATGAGTGCACAGAAGCGGAGGGTCGCCATTGGCATATGAAACATTTTTGTTGCCTTGAGTGTGAAATTATCCTTGGTGGACAGAGATACATTATGAAGGATGGACGTCCATTCTGCTGTGGGTGTTTTGAATCTCTTTATGCTGAGTACTGTGAGACCTGTGGGGAACACATAGGTAAATATATCCTTCTTAAGTATTAAATTTTTCCAAGGGTTGTATTTTATTGAACAAACATGGTAATTAACAGGGCTCGACAGACTATGTAATCTACTCACCCGTGGCGAGTAGATCACAACCTGGAAGAGCTGGGTTTGGGCGATCTGCGCATGCACAGATCGCCGGACAGCACGGCTGGCTAGCAGGGCTCACTGCGGTTCGGTGAGCCCTGGTAATTCACAATCAAAAAAAGTTTCAGTTTGTGTGTAACTTCTTTTAGTCATAAAGTAAACAGCTTCTCTTTGCCTTATTACTAGGTGTTGACCATGCTCAGATGACCTATGATGGACAGCACTGGCATGCTACGGAGACTTGCTTTTCTTGTGCTCAGTGCAAAGCCTCCCTGCTGGGTTGTCCTTTTCTTCCCAAGCAAGGGCAGATTTATTGTTCAAAAACGTGTAGTTTGGGAGAAGATGTTCATGCCTCGGACTCCTCTGATTCTGCGTTTCAGTCTGCACGATCAAGAGACTCCAGAAGAAGTATTCGTATGGGAAAAAGCAGCCGATCAGCTGACCAGTGCAGACAGTCTCTCCTGCTATCACCAGCACTGAATTACAAATTCCCTGGTCTTTCTAGCAATGCTGACGATACTCTTTCTCGCAAGATGGATGACTTAAGTCTTCCAAGGCAAGAAGCAAATTTTGGGAATGAAGATTTTTGGAAAGGAAGAGCAGAGCAGGAAATGCCTGAAGACCCTGAAGAATGGGCTGAGCATGAAGACTACATGACTCAACTCCTCCTAAAATTTGGTGATAAAGGCCTCTTCCAGCAGCCTACTGAAGTAGATGTTACATCAAACGAACACTGGATTTCTGATAATATTGTTAAAAGCAAGTCAGATTTGAAAAAAAATAATCAAAGCCTGGCAAGTAAAAAATATCAGGCAGATATGTATTGGGCCCAATCACAAGACGGGTTAGGTGATTCTGCATATGGCAGCCATCCAGGCCCTGCCAGCAGCAGAAAAATCCAAGAGTTAGACATGGAACATGTGGCTCCAGGATACAAACATGACCAAACACAATGGTATGAAGGTTCCTTGGAATGTCTGTCTGACCTAAAACAAAATGAGCAAAGTGTTCGAGATTCAATGGATTCTTTGGCTTTGTCTAACATCACAGGTAATTGATTGTAGAGAAAAGCTAAGTTTTTCTAGAAAGATTTTTTTTTTAAATGTAAGTGAAGACTTCAGTTAAAAGATAGGTAAGGGCCAAATTCTCCCTGGAGGTACACATCTTCCACATGAAAGAATGCCATGTCATCTGAGGGCAGAATCTGGCCATGTTATTTTTTTCTTTATTTACAAGAGGAGCACAGAAACTCACATCACTCAAGGTGTTAGAACTATCATCAACTTTTACTATTTGCTCTCTGTACTTAGTAATATACATAATATACAAATTCAGATAATTTTGTAACAATATTTAACAAATATTGATACACTAAAGAAATATAAAACACTTTTCAGTATAGTGATGGTATTAAAGGTTAATTGCAAATAATATTTTAAATTGGATTTATTTCATGATTTGTTTTATAAGTATTAAGACTGTTTGAGTGGAAGTGGCCTTAAAAAAAAAAAAAACCTCCATTCTGCCCAGCAATCACACATGCTGTTTTACCTTGGAAATATCCAGATTGTCACATTTGGTAGTCCCTGACTTTGCTGGAGGAATTCTTGGAAATAGAAATGTTTATCGCCCCTTAACAGGTTGTGTGGCATGCCTTAGCTTTAAAGAGACACTGTGTGTGTGAGAGAGAGAGAGACACACACACACACACACACACACAAGGCACTGAAGTTCAATAGGTGTTTCAAACAGACTGATTAAACTTTCTGTTCACTCTTGATACCCTAATGTCACTTGTTTTCTATTAATCATAGTTGAGACCTGAACTAATATAAATAAAAAAAATAATTTTTCATGCTATCTTTATACCTCAAAAAAAACCAATGGGATAAGAACATAAGAATTAGTGATAAGCCTTGTTTACTCCATAAACCTTTATTAGAACTTTAATATTTTGAGTCAATATGCTTCATTACAATCTCAGATTAGCTAACTTTTTTTCTCCCCTCTTTAGGGGCCTCAGTGGATGGAGAAAGCAAATCAAGGCCATCTTTTTATTCTTTGCAAACTTTCCAGGAGCTTGAGGCAGAGGACTGTGAGAAAATGAGCAATATGGGAACTCTAAATTCTTCAATGCTTCACAGGAGCACAGAGTCTTTAAAGAGTTTAAGTTCAGAATTGTGTCAAGAAAAGGTGTTGCCAGAAGAAAAGCCAGTGCACATGCCCGTACTTAGAAGATCTAAATCCCAGTCTAGACCACAACAAGTAAAGTTTTCAGATGATGTTATTGACAATGGAGATTATGACAGTGTTGAAATTCGCCAGCCTCCAATGAGTGAAAGAACTCGTAGGCGTGTTTTTCATTTTGAAGAACGTGGGAATCGGCAGCAGCAGCATCGTCGCAGGAGAAGTAGGAAGTCTCGTTCAGACAATACACTGCATTTAACTACGGAAAGATGTTCTCCAAAAGAGAGACCTCACTTTTACTCGCCTCAGGATTATGACAAATTTATCCAAAATAGAAGCCCTCATGAGGTTCAAGCATACATTCAAAATACAGAACTTTATGGACAGTATGCCCATGCTACATCAGATTATGTACTGCGGAACCAGGCAGTTGATAAATTTTTTGGACTGTATGGTGAGGAAGAAGACTCTTGGTGTTCAACTTCATCGTCCTCTGATTCTGAAGAGGAAGGATATTTTCTTGGACAGCCAATTCCACAGCCACGATCACTGAGATATCCATACTACACAGATGACCTATCCAGTCCAAGCACCGCACTGGCCAGTTCTCAGTTTGAGCAAAGGACAACCAAATCAAAGAAGAAAAAAGGACACAAAGGCAAAAATTGCATAATTTCATAACCCATTAAATCTTAGCAGGTGGGAAGACACTTTCATGTAAATCTTTGCAGCTACAATCTGTAAATGACAACCCTACTGGTGTTTTATGTTATAAAATTAACATTCAAAAAGAAATGTGATTATTAGGAAAAAATCAGATATTACCAGGTTTTCATAATATACGCTGTGGTTATCAAAACATTGCAGTTTACAGTCTATCATACAGACTTGGTGTAGACATTAACATTGTGCTGGACATTTATCCCTGTTTACACACCAGAGAGGATGCAATAATAGCAAACTGAATTATATATTAAAAAAAAAAAAGCTTTACTGTTGCTTCACATATTCAGATGGCTTCAATATCCTTGTTTTTACAAAGGAAGGGTTCTGTGGTGTGTTCCTTCCCTGCAACTTCCCATTTTTACTAGAACAATTACAGCCTGGCTTGCCTTTATCTGCAGCCATCTTCATATTGTACAGAAGCAGTAAATGGTCTAGACTAGAAGATTAAGAATTCTATGCACCCTTTCAATGTATTTGGTAATCAAGGTTCAGCTGGTTGAGAACTTGACTGGCATTTCACTGGAGGGCATACACACAGCTATAACTGACACTTTAATACAAAGTATGGTTTTCTTTAAAAAAAAATCATCTGAAAAAGAGTATCCTAATTCTGGAAGCCCTTTCATTGATTAAAAATAGGTTACATGCTACTTGCATGTAACTATGTAAAGAATACTTGCCAAAGGGTTCAAAGGATTAAGCTCCATATTTGTATCTATTGGAACTCATTAATCCAGATTTTAAACATATTAGTGACAATTATAAATTGAAAACAGTGATATTTATAATGTAGTATTCCATAGACTAAAATGTATTCATAATTTAACAGTGAAAATATGAGTGTACATATTGTACAGTTAAGATTTAAAACTGATTATTTTTATATCCCTGAATTCCAAGAAGTTTGTTATAACACAAAACTAGATTTGTTAGGTGTTTAACAGCAGCATTATGGATGGAATGATTGTTTGTATTTTAGTCAAGGGGTTTACATTTAGAAACTTTCAAAATTGTATTACTTTGAGCCAAAGCTTAATTTTCTCTTCTAGATATTAAATGCTCTGTATGCATGGCAGGGCTGTGTAAATGCTCTCTAAAACTAGGACCCTTTTAATCTTACAAGTTTTTATTTATGGGTCAAGCAAAATGTAAACTGTATAAATGTAAAAAAACCACACAAGCCTGGAATATATTAGTATAACAAATATGCAACGTCTGTGGATTTTTTTATAATCTTTGTTATTGCCCTATGTAAGAGAACAGTTAATGTTGGAATTGTGGATGGAACAGGAGTGGCACAAAATGTTTAAAAGATGCTTCTTTCCATCAGTGAATTTTAAATGTACTGTAAGTAGGAAGTCTCAATTTCTGCCCTTCAGCTAGTGTGTGTATATAAAGAGCAATTTTGATTTAGTTATAATAAACATATATACCTCTTACAATGCTACATGCTTTAACCACAGGCAGAAGGTTTTTTTTGTTGTTACATGGGTTAATGCTGGAAAAAAAGTTACACTGAGTTTTATCACCTGACCAAAGGTAATTATAGAATAAAGAATTAAAGAATAAAATAGGGCAGGTGTTCCTTACACAATATCCCTAAAAATGTGACATGTTGAAAACTAGAACCAGTTTTATACTTCTTCTGAGTCTATGGAAGAATGCTGATTTTCAAAACAGTTAAGTAAATGACTTGACAATTAGGAGTTCAGTAGGGTGGTCATCTAGGCAACCATTTGTATTGCATTAATCTAAGCTTTGTCTGTATCTAAGGGTACATCTAAACTACATCCTCTGTTGGCAGAGGGATGTAAATTAGACGTACGAAAGTGAAAATGAAGCTGGGATTTAAATATCCCGTGTTTCATTTGCATAACAGCAGCTGTGGCTTTTTTCCCAAAACGGGGCTTTTCGAAAAATCCTGGCAGTTTAGACGGGGAATTTTCAGCAGAAAGCCCCATTTCGAAAGATCCTGTACTCATTTTTTGATAGTGCCCTAAGTGTAGTTTAGATGTACTCTAGGGCTACGTCTACACTGGCAGCTTCTTGCGCAGGAACTGTTTTGCGGAAGAGTTCTTGCGCAAAAAGTTTTCCACAAGAGCACATCTACACTGGCATGTGCTTTTGTGCAAGAGCATCTATGGCAGTGTGGACACTCTTGCGCAAAAAAGTGCTTATGGCCATTTTAGCCAGAGGGGTTTCTTTTGCAAGAAATTCATGTTGCCTGTCTACACTGGCCTCTTGCGCAAGAGGGCTTATTCCTCATGGGGAGAGAAATAACTCTTCCTGAAGAAGCCCTGTTTTCTGACGCTAAACTGTAAATTTACTTGCGTAGCAACGCGCATGCTGTGTAGACACCCGGCAAGTTTTAAGAAATTGCCAGTGTAGATGTAGCCTAAGTGTAACGCGCAGCAGCGGCAGCGCTTTAATGCAGCAATGTGGTCAGGCACCAGTGCTGAGAGCTCTTCCAGTGCTCTTAGGAAAACCACCTCCATGAGGAGAACCTGTTCACACTGGTGCTTTACAGCACTGTAACTTGCTGCACTTGGGTGCGTGGTGGGCTTTTTTACGTGCCCTGAGTGAAAAAATTGCAGTACAGTAAGTAGCAATGTAGATAAACCCCAAGACTACCACACTGCAAACAAATGCATTGCTACTTTAGCCAAACAGAGTGAACATTTTTGGTATATATGTTTTGCAGACTGAAACAAGCAGGCACTAACAGAAGTACAAAATACATAAGAATGACAGTAGGCCATGCTAGTGGGGAAGTGGCACTATATTTTTCCAAATACAGTAAAAATCTTAAATGACTCAGTGTACTATAGAATCTCTTGTGAAGAGCATTTCCATGTTTCAGTATTAAGAGTATAAGCTATAAGAATGGGTTTGGCCTCAATTTCAGTATTAAGCAAATTTGTTGAAACTACAGTGAAGAGTTTTTGTAAAGGGAAATCAAGTGTCAATTAGAATTCTCTGAGAATGTCAAGGAAAGTGTGCAGGGGTTATCCAGTGGACTTGTACTTTCAAAAGCTTTTGATACAGTCCCACAATATTGAAGGAAGGTCCTCTCAATAGTAGGAATAAACGGTCAGTTTTCACAGTGGAACATGGTTAAGTAGCAAGGGTCTGAAATGAACTATGCTGCTGAATATTATTCATGACAGTTAAATCCAAAGCTAAATGCAAAAAGTTACACTGAGATGTAACTTAACTGGGTCACTACATGACAAAATGGTAGATGAAATGTAATGTTAAGTACAAAAGGCAGATTATTAAACAATCTCAATTAAAGTGATGGAGTCTAAATTAGCTGTTACTATTCAAGAAAGATCTTGGGTCATGATGGATAGTTCTCTGAAAACACCCTGCAGGCAGGGGTGCTCCAGCACCTACCTGCCCCCGATTAAGCAGTTAAGTTAACGTTTAACTAAATGCTTACCAAGTTAACTAATTAAATGAGATTTTACATCCCTACCTTTGGTCCAGTATCCCATCTTCTGACAGTGGCCAATGCCAGATGCCCCAGAGAGAATGAACGGAACAGATAATTAAGTGACTGAAAGTGATCCATCCCGTTGCCCATTCCCAGCTTCTGTCAAACAGAGGCTAGGGACACCATTCCTGCCCATTCTGTCGAATGGCCATTGATGGGCCTATCCTCCATACGTTTATCTAGCTCTTTTTTTTTAACCCTGTCATGGAATGTTAGGAATCATTAGGAAAGGGATAGATAATTAAAACAGAAAATACCATAAAGTCAGTATATAAATTCATGCTATGCCCACACTTTGAATACTGCCTCGAGTTCTGGTCACCCTGTCTCAAACTGGAAAAGGTACAGAGAAGTGCAAGAAAAATGCCTTGAAATATGGAACTGCTTCAGTCAGACAAGACAGATGGACTGTTCATCTTGGAAAAGAAACTAATGTAGGGGAATATGATGGTGTTTTATAAAAATCATGAGGGTAGAGAAAGTGAATAAGGAATTATATATTCCCACCCAAAATAAGAACAAGGGGTCAGCCAATTAAGTTAATAGGTAGCAGGTTTAAAACAAACAACACATAGCTTACATGTGAAACTTGTTACCAATAGATATGAAGGCTAAATTTCTGCAGTTATATGCAGGGGAGAGGGGCCAGTTGGCCTCCTAGGAGCTGGTGCATGTGGGGAGCCAGCTTTTGAGTTTGTTGTTGAAGTTTGCCTAAACTCCCTCTATTTTTCAGTAAAGCTCGAGTTTAATTTGTGGAGATTTTGGGAGTACATTCTACTAAATACTGTGTATACTGAGGTCAGTCACTCAATTTGGACAAGTATTAAGATGGAGACAAGGTCTCAAAAGATTGACAAAAAAACGTAACACTGCAGCACCTAACTTTCAGGAGCCAGAACAACAACAGCATCCATAAAGCAAAACGAGAAAAAAAGATGCATTCCACAAAAAACACATCTAAGCTAGTCAGAGGTGTATCCTAAACCACTCCTCTATGAATTACGCACCTACGTGGACTATAGAGAAGTGTCTGGCTCTACTTGAGATCCACATCCATAACTCCTAGCCTGGAATTAAGTATCCTATGCCAGGTCTACACTGGTAGAGATCAAAGGAATGGGAGGACAAGCATGCAACAGACCCTGAATCCAGCACATTAGTACAGCATCTCTGAGAACAAACACAGTCTTTGTGCTCCCACGAAACAAAATACTTTTCATTTCTTGTTCTGTTGGGTTGCAAACAAATCTGAAGCAAGAAACTTACTGATAGAAAATGAACTGGCTCACCAAATCCTTTAAGGACTATTTGAGATTCTGAGACAAATGCCTACTGAGGTGGTTTTCCAACAAGTTATTTATGATTGGAAGATGAACTGCAGTTAATGTTATGTTGTGCTAGGTACACTAATTTCATGGAATTATTGCTTTCCTGCACAAGATCATTGGGCTAGGAATTCTAAATTGGCCACCTCAAAATAGAACATGATACCCAATTAGAGATTCTTTGAGTCTGGACTGCTTGACCCTGGGATCTTGGCAACTGAAATAAATAGCTTAAGGGACTGCCTGGATGGTTTTCCTGTAGATAACTAATAACTAAATCACAGAGCTGGAAGAACATCTAAACTTTCTAAAATATGTAAGGCAGCCACTTGTTCAAATGAGGTTTTTGGGAAAAGAAGGTGAATGGACTGATTTAAATAAAAATCAGAGATTACATATACTATAAGGTTGCTATGATGGGCTCCCCACCCCAAAAATGAAGCATTGGGCACTGCTGACTTTGTGGGAAGTGCTGGGAAGAAAAGAACTCTCTTGCAGATCTGATGTGGATCTCTTCACCAGGGAAGTATGGTTATCTCTATATCTGTTCTGAGAAGCACCCCTGAAATAATGACGATCCAGTCTTTTGAACAGGTCACCAGATTACATGAACTATGTGACCTAAAATCAGAGATCTTTGCTGTAGTACATGGATTGTTTTGCAGTCGATTGATTAAAATATTGTCAAAACTCATCTGCAGAAGATATCCTTGAGTTATCATCGGATCAGTTAGAGCCAAATAAATGATATCCTTTTTTGCTGGTTTAATTTTTTTTTTCATATTTCACTCAGTTATAGTCTTACAAATAGATGTATGGATACTACTTAGCACCTGCTTGGGAGACTGTCCTCTTTTCAACCAATTATCAATACATGGGTAAACAACACATTTCTTTCTGAGATATCCCACTATTACAGCAAAACATTTTGTGAAAGTACTTGAAGCCAACAACAATCCAAAAGGTAGTTCTCGGTTCTGGTAATGTGCATTGCCCACTACAGAGGCAAATAGCTGATACTGATCAATGGAAATATGTGTTTGGTAGATTGAGAGCTGCAAACTAGCCTAGAGGCTCTAGAGAAGGAAGCATGGAGGCCAGGGTTACTATTTGAAATTTTAACTGGCCAAGCCAACTGAAATTAACTCTTGCCACCCAATGTTTTGGGGAGTACAATATACTGGCAATGGGAACACCCTGCATAGTACCAAAAAATAATAGACACTCAACATCTTGTGTGAAGGAATCTTATAAGTGGGTTCCTGAAATGGAAGGTGGGAATACCTTGGAACTGAACAGAATAACCTTTCTGAATTAGTTACAGTACTATTTGCTGCTGGTGACACTACTTCACGCTTGCTGGAAATAATGCAAGTGACTCCTCCAAAAGCACTAAGGGTACATCTACACTGCACTGTATCCTGAAATAGCTACCACGCATCTACACAAGATGCCTGGTATTTCAAAATATTTTTTGAAATAATGGGTGCCTTATTTCGGCATCCCGGTAACCCTCGTTCCATGAAGGTTAAGGAATGTCTCCATATAGCACATTGTTTCAAAAATTTGGTGCTGTGTAGATGCGCCAAAGTTTCAAAATAGATTTGAAATCTTATTTCAGGTTTAGGGTACGGTGTAGATGCACCCTAAGATAGGGAAAAGACCCTCTAATATTTGTTAAGGCTCCTCTGTATAAACAGCAGCATTTGAAGATGATGCCAATGAAGGTCTTCCATGAATACATTGTTCTTTAAAAAACATCCATTGTTTTCTGCTAAGGTTTATTAAAGGGAGTAGTGATTTGTTGTTTCAGTTGAGTATGCTTCTTTTTGTACTTTGCAATGTTACTATAGCTATGTTGTTCCCAGGATATGAAAGAAATAAGGTGGGCAAAATCTTTTACTGGACCAACTTCCAAACCTTCTCTCTTAAATCAACAACAACTGGTCCAATAAAAGATCTCACCTACTTAGTCTCTCTCTTTGCATTAGAACTGTAGATGCCTAATGACAGTAATGTTGGAGTGCCTTTCAGTGTAAGCAATGACTCAGTTTTAGAACTGAACCAGACGATTCCCTGGAAGGGGAGATCTTCCAACATAATTTGAACCTCCAGAAGACCAGAACCCTCTTTCACGTTGCACAGTACTTGTCCCCAATCAATTTCATTGCAGTTTCAGTAGCATCAATGGAATCTTGAAGGACTGTCTTAGCTATTAACTGATCATTCACAGATGAACTTTTGTCAGATTTCAGAGGAATTTAAATTTTTATCAAGATACTCTCCAACTTTGTTCCGAATACAATAATCATAGCAAATATATAGGCCCTTTTACCATGTTATGCAGAATTGAATGCTAGCTGACTTTTTTAAAGTCAAGTTTTTTTAGGATCCTCCTCTGGTGTAGTACTAAAGAACTAATGTTTCAACTTCTCTTGTGAGCTACTATTGCTTCTAAGTACCTTGGAGAAAGATGTGTGTAAAAAATTTAGCTTGCTGAAAGGATTTGATGCTTGTTTTCAACTTCCTTGATCGTAGGTAGTATAGACGTTGGCGCTTACCATACAACCAGGGTTGACTAACAAACTTTCATTTATAGGTACGGTAATAATGGATGCAAAATGTCCAGTAACCTGCATTCTTTTTCTTGAGCAGTCTGAACAGGCTCCCCAATGTTTCTGCCATTCAGTGGACCAAGTTTTAAAATTACTTATCAAATGACAATTCCTAAGGAGGAGCCAAAGCCTCATTCTGTGAAGAAGAATGTCAAATACGCTCAAATAGTTTCAGAAACTTGCTGCTGACATATATGTTCACCCACAGACTGATGTGGAGAAGAGCCTGGTTCATTAATATGTATAAGCTAACAGACTAGACTTATCCAGTATTGCCCTTGGTCTTTTTGGGCAGGGGGCTGGTGGTGGTGTGTGTGGGGAGCAAGGTATTGGGGATGTGGGCTGGGGGCAGGGGAGGTGCAAAAGTGAGGGTTGGAGGGTGAGGAGGGAGTAAGGGTGGAGGATCCCATCTGGGATGGGCCTTTATTCTACTCCCTGGTGCCAGGGACCTTTTTTCCTCCTCCCAGGCTTCCCTCCAGTGCTGTGGCCAAGGGGGGAAGGAAAAGGTTTTTTTTTTTTGGGGGGGGGGGGGGGCTACTTACCAGTGTGCTGGCAGGCAAGATGGCAGAGCCCCAGTCCTGCTGTCCCCTACTTTGATGGTACAGCTGCTCTAGTGGATATTCTGCAGGAAGCTCTCCTCTGCGGGCTTCCTGTCCCAGTGAACACTCTCATGTCACATCCCTCCAAACAGCAGCCCCTCCCTTGCATGTTATGGAAAACAGCCCTTTTCCCAGGCTCCTAGTTATCTTGGCACAATCAACCCTGACCTTGCTCTAAGTTAGGAGAAGAAGCAGCTGTATACCAAATTGGTGGCCCTAGCTCTTGTTGCTTAGGAGGAGTTCTTGAACAAATGGACTCGAAGACAGATACATTCCAAAATATATGCATAGATTGCTGTGAACACTTGTGCGTCCTGGGCTGAAGATGATCTAACCCTGCAAACCAAAGCTAAGGAATGTTTTTGATTAAGGATGTGATCATATGTTCCCAGAGGCCAAGCAGTTTGTCTATATGGATAAAATTAGTAGGGGGCAGGGCTCAGGACACACATCTTGACTTGCTTTCCCTTTTGAAAGAAGATATGCACATTTGGTGCAAATGTACATATCTTCTGATCGCTTTTTCAAAAGACATTCTTTTGAAAAAGAAAGTCTAGATGCGGTTCTTTCGACAAAAAATACCCCTCTTTTTTTAGGAAGAACGGTTCTTTTGAAAAAGGGTTTTTTTCCCCCTTGAAAGAACCATGTCTAGACTACTTTCTTTTTCAAAAGAATGTCTTTTGAAAAAGCGATCAGAAGATATGTACATTTGCACCAAATGTGCATATCTTCTTTCAAAAGCGAAAAGACGTCTGGACGTGCCCTCAGTGGTACTACTTAAGGACTTTTGAACAAAAATGCCTATATTTACCTCCTGTGTCTGACTTGATTCCCAAATACTTACAGGACATAAGAAGTACCCACAAAGGCTAAATAGGTGAAACATTCCCACTATCAGGAGAGGATGAAAAAGGATACTCATCCTCCTCTTCAAAGCACTGTGTGAAGTGGAGGGCCGACAGTGCAAGAGGGGGGAGTCTGAAAAGGGGCTTATTACACTAACCCTCAGGTACCTTATGAAGCATCCCTTAACTGACAGGGAAGCGATGTTTTGCATGCCCCCTTAAGGGTGGATTATTAGGAAATAGGTATGCCCAAGAAAACCAAATGAATCATAGCAATTATAATCAGGAATGTAAAATCCCATTTTAAAGTGTTAACATATGGTTTAACCAGTTAAGTTGGCATTGTGCCATGGGCAGGGGCTGTAGGAGCATCCCCATGTCCATGGTGCAGTGGGTCCATCTGGGTTGGAGAAGCGCCCTGTGGGCAGGGATTGGCTTGAGCTGGGCAGGGCCCACCTCAACGCACCACGCTGTGGGGCTGCTCCAGCCTGGCTAGGCCTACTGCATTGAGCCAATTAACTGATTAAATATATAGTTTAACTGGTTAACATTTTAAATGGGATTTTACATCCCTAATTTAAATAGCCATGATGCATTGGCTTTCTTGGGCATGCATATTTCCTACTAATACACCCTTAGGGTGTGTCTAAACTACATGGCTCCGTCGATGGAGCCATGTAGATTAGGCTGATTGGCAGAGGGAAATGAAGCCACGATTTAAATAATCGCAGCTTCATTTAAATTTAAATGGCTGCCGTGCTCTGCCGACCAGCTGATGATCAGCTGTTTGTCGTCAGATTGAGCAGTTTGGACGCGCTGCTGTCGACAAGGAAGCCTTTGTCAACCAGTGCAGGTATGCCTCGTGAAACGAGGTTTACCTGCGCTGGTCGACAAAGGCTTCCTTGTCGACAGCAGCGTGTCCAGACTGCCCCGATCTGCCGACAAAGAGCTGATCATCAGCTGGTCGGCAGAGCATGGCGGCCATTTAATTTAAATGAAGCTGCGATTATTTAAATCGTGGCTTCATTTCCCTCTGCCAATCAGCCTAATCTACATGGCTCCATCGACGGAGCCATGTAGTTTAGACACACCCTTAGTAAGGTATGCAAAACATCACTTGCCTGCCAATTAAGGGATGCCTATTGGCCAGGAATGACAAACCGGGAACTATGGCGGAGTGGGTGACACTGCCTGAGAATGGTCAAAGCAAACAAAATGATTTGCTGCCCACCTGAAAAAGTGGTTTTTGCCCATGAAATCTTATGCCCAAATGAGATGCCACCGGATGACTACTGTTGTTTTTGTGAATATGCAGGGGCATGAAGTTTTCACATCAACAGGGTAAATAGCAAAAGCATACAAAGGGGTTTTAAAGCACCAAATCTTGCAAGAAGCACAAAACCTAGAGAGAATAATAACCTGTTAGTAAACTTTATGGTAATACCAATTCTATTAAAAAAAATTAAGTTATACAATAGGAGTCCTTTGTTATTACTGAGGTTTAATCTGATTTGAGAAAAAGGTGATTTATATAAACAGATTTTTGTAAAATACAGAATGTGCTCACAATATTCTCTACTTTTTAGAGACAATTTGTTGCAAATTAAGTATTAGGAAAATATTCCTTAATAAAGAATACTGAAATTAAAATACAGTAATAATGGGCATTCTTGACAAGAACGGTGGGTATTCCTCATAATTATTATCAAGATGTATTAAACAAATATTCCTAATTTTTTTCAGTGCTTGTAACTTTAAGAGTTCTAAACAGGAGTACAAACTTTTGCTTAACACTGATGTTGCTACGAGAGTTTTCATAACTAATAACTACTGCATTTTTCAAATGCTGAAAACATAGTAAATGAGGAAAGACTTGGCCATTTCTTAAACAGTTTCAATTTTTGTGAGAGAAGTGAAATGTGTTGGATAAATTTGTTAGCACAGAAGAGTCAGTTTAGAGGCACCAACTCCAAAACAAACCAGACCCATACCATGAGTCTGATGTAAACGTGTTTATTGAATTCCTGTATCAGAAATCTGTAACCCAGTGTGGAGAGTAGGTGAGAGTTCATACCAGCAGCTACAGACAAAATGATTATCATGCATTTGTTTACTGCCCTGTAAGTTGTCCCACTGAAATTAATGAGACTACATATGATGTCTGTAGGACTAAGGATGTTAAAAGTCTGGTAATTAGGTAATTGTGTAGCAGATACAATTTGCATCAACTACACAATTAATCGATAAGGGAAGGTGCTACCCTCCATTGCAAATCTGCAGTTTAAATGTGGAGCCAGAGACCAGCTCCTACTACATTTAAATTGCAGAGCCACAGAGGGGGTAGCTCCTCGACCCAGTGTGAGCCAAGACTGAGCAAGACTCACACCAGGTCCAGCAGCCCCTGTCCATGGGGGGGACTCAGTGGGGAGCTGGGACCCCCCAGTGGACAGGGGCTGCTGTGGAGCAGCCCTCTGTTCACAGTTAGCCCCGGCTGCCGCAGACAGGGGCTGCTGCAGGAGCAGCCTCCCGAGAGCCCTTTGCACTGCTGCCTCTGATAGAGGCAGCAGTGCCAGAGTGAGGGTGGGGTGGGGGAAGAAGCAGCAACGTGGACATGATGCCAGGGGAACTGGCTTTTAAGCTGGCTGCCCCCAGCACCGTCTCCTGCTCCTCCCCCCTCCCCCCCCCGGTTGCCTCTGATATCTGCTTCTCTTCTGTGAATTATTTTTCAAACTTAAAAAAAAAAAAACTTTAGTTAGCCCTATACTACTTAAATATCAAACAGAACTGTTAACTAAGTTTGAACTACAGGGAAAATTCTGCTCTCAGTTGCACAGATATAACTGAGCGCAGAATTCAGCCTACCAAACTAGTTTTATACTGTTGATACATGAGTAGAAGACAGCTCAGCTTCTCAAGATATTAAGTGGCAGTTAGCAGGGCTAAAATTAGGACAGAGATCACTTTCTCCAAGTCAAGTAAACAAGTTGTTCTGGCATTCACGGAGTCAAACCAGTTATTTTTTCAAATGGACATGAATTTTAAAATCATGTGTCAAAAACAAACAATAGAAGTAAACCATGGTCAATGAAAAACCTTGCAAGTTTTTCTATAGCATGAATGAGCAAGGGAATATCCATGTTTCTGAAGATATTCTGAGGAAGGAAGTACTGCTTGTTATTTTAATAAAAATGCAGTGCTTACTTACATTTCTAAACATTGAAACAAAAGTATACATACATTGAACAAACTTTTTTTCTAGGTAATTGGGTAAAGGCTTTCAAAAATAGTTTGTCACTTTACATCATTATTGAAACGTATCCTTTTCGAAGGAAAAATGTCACAACAAAATACACATTAGAAGAACACAATTAAATGATCTGGAGACCACAATGAACAATCTATAGTCATTTTAGCTACTATGAAGGAATATGGGCCTTAGGTTCAAATCTCCAACAAGTATTCCCCTTCTCCACAAAAGCATATTTATATATTAATGGCCTATACAATATGGAAAATCTAAAAGCATTTTTTTTGTTCTTAATACGCTCCCTCTTTATAGGACTCTGCTAACTCTTGATGGGCAGAATCATATTCAGCAATGAAATGTTTAAGTTCTTCAATGCATCGCTCACCTATCTCATGCAAATTTTGTCTCAGGGCAAACTGAATGGACTTTTCTAATGAAGGATCTTTATCAATCAGCATCTTCACTACCATGCCAAAGGTTTCACAATCTTGTCTGTAAACCTAGAAACAATATATTTGAGAAACTGATTAAAGGCAAGAATATTTACATAAGCAGATCATTTCCCTCCATCCCAAATAAGGTTATAGCAACATTTCAACACCAAAATAAAGTGATGAAAAATGAATGATAGATTCAACATATATGTATATACATTTACTCTTCTGCGGACCTGCTGTAATGTAAGAAGGACAAAGGCAGATAGTTCAGTACTACTCTGACATAAAAAATAATTCTTAATAAAGGAAATTCCTGAAAAATATAACTTGGGGAGGAAAATAATTTTCCTTACAATGTAGAAAATCCCAGCTGGAATGAAATATGAAGAGATAACAGCAAACATTACGTGCATTTATCATTTCCACTTGGAATAAAATAGAGATTACACCACATCACCAGTGTGATGCCCATCTCATTCGTTTTTATTTAAAGATAATGATCAGTTAATTGATCTTGTGATAACACTTTGAAGGTAAAACTTACTAAATATTTCAGAAAAATATGTTACGTTTCTTGGAGATTTCAAATCACCTGATATGGGAAAGCCAAATCAATGTCATTTATAGAACTTCAAAGCAGCAACCGGTTTCATGGTATTTGGCAGTTCTATTATAGGACAATGTAACTTCACAAGGGAGAGCAGAGTTTAGAATTGACATCACTCAGACGCTCTGAATCCAAGTAGGAGCGGGGAAAGAAAAAAAAACGTATTCCATTAACTGCTTCAAAGAGCTTTAAGTGGAAATGTGCAGGGCTTCTACACAAAGGAAAACAGTCTGATTACCTGAAATATCTTTTCATATTATAACCTCCTTTCTGTTTCCATTCTATTTATGCTCATAGTCTCATCTGTGGATTTTTTATTTTATATTTGAAATGTTATTAAGACCCTATTATGCAAGGGGTGGCAACCTATGGTTCACAATCCAAATATGGCTTGCGACAGAATCAAATACATCTCTTTTTGGCAGCTGCTGGGATTTCCCTGTTGGGTGCAGGCCTGCATGGGTGCACACAAAGAACTGTAAGGTAAGTTGCTGCTGCTGGTGGGCGAGTGGAGGGTCGGTGCTGCGTGGTGGCTGCACAGCTGCTCCCAGGGTGGGCCATGTAGTGGGCAGTTGCTGGAGCTGAAGCCAGGCTACAGTGCAGCTGCTCTGGGGGCCTGGCCCTGGCCCACCTTCAACAGCTGCCACAGGCCCCACTCTGGGAGCAGCTAGACAGTCATAACATGGCTCTGGCCCCAGCTCCAGCCCTGGGGGAGAGGACCGATGGCTCTAGGCCCTCTGCTTCCACCTCCTCAGGTTGCTGCAAGGAGCCACTTCCCACAGTCCCTTGCCCTACAACACAGGGCTGGCAGGAGCCCCTTGTAGATGGGAGCTCAGGCTCCTTGGATTTGGTCTCATATTTCACTTAAACTTCTATTATTTATTAATTATAATTATTACTATAATTATGAATACATTACAATGTTGTAGGTACCCAACAAAAACAAGTGGAAACTGAACTAGATCCACACTAGATCCACAAAAGGACACAAATGTGCCACAGTCAACATTTTATGCTATTATTAATCATCATGTCAATTAATAATATTAAGTTGTATATTTTTAGTCATGAAAACAGGCACTCTTATATGGCTCTTTGTTGACCGCTTGTTCTGAATTTTGATACAGTTTGGCTCTTTGGTTTGAAAATGTTGTCGACCGCTGTTCTACAGCATAAATTAGAACTGCATAGCATATTTCTGTACCTTTATGAATCTTTGAGACCACAAAGGCTCCCCAAAGGCCTAACTGGCAGTTTTATAGGAGTTATTGTGCTTGGTTGGCCTGGTGACCTACTGATTGTTGTCTGAACAGCCATACAGTGTTTGATGTCTTCAGACTTGTAGTCATCCGGGTTTGAAATGCTTCTATTGCAGCACAATAAGCACCCTACCCAAACAGAAATGTGGCAGAAGTTCATCATCTATTCACAGGTTAATTAACACTGTTCATTTTCACACACCACTGGCCAATTTCCTTTTATAAAATGTACTCAACTTTTATGTGATGACAGTTTAGTTTTACTGAAACAAAGCAAAAGACAAGCAATCAGAAGTTGTGATTTTTGTCCCAGGTGGATCTTTTAAGGCATGAAACCACATCCTTGGTAAGATTTAGTTCTGAGACATACATATGTCGTCTTCCCAAATCACTCTCTGAATTGGAGACACGATTAATCAAGTGAAATAATACTATACAGGCAGTCCCCGACTTACGCGGATCCACACTTATGAACGGGGCTTTTCTTGTCCCGGAGCTCGCGGGCGGCGGGAGCGCCCAGAGCGCAGCGGTCCCGCCACCGCGTCCCCTTGGGCAAGAAAAGCTGCTCCGGGTCTCCCTGGTGTGCTGGGGGGGACTCCCCAGCACAGCAAGCAGACCCGAGCAAAGCCGCACAGGCAGCTTTGCTCCTTTGCCCCTGAGCAAAGCCGCACAGGCGGCGGGGTCCCCTGCCTCTGCGGCTTTGCTCGGGTCTCCCTGCTGTGCTGGGGGGAAACTCCCCCCCAGCACAGCAGGGAGACAGGAGCAAAGCCACAGAGGCGGCGGGACCTCTGCTCCTCCGCGGCTTTGCTCGGGACTCCCGGGTTCAGCTAGTGCGCCCCCCCCCCAGCAGACCAGGCTTTTGTTGCGGGACGCCTGGGGTAGAGCAGCTGGGGTGCTGCCAGGTTGGTCCTGCGGGGACCTACCCAGCAGTGCCCCAGCTGTTCTGTCCCAGGAGTCCAGATTCAGCCGCTGTTGAAACTGATCAGCGGCTGATTCCAGGAAGCCGGGGGCAGAGCAACTCTGCCTAGGGCTTTCTGTAGTCAGACGCTGATCAGTTTCAGCAGTGGCTGAATCTGGAGCCAGTTCCGACTTACATACAAATTCAACTTAAGAACAAACCTATAGTCCCTATCTTGTACGTAACCCAGGGACTGCCTGTACTGGGAAGTGCTCATTTTACTGACACATGGTCTACTCTTAAAAGTTAGGCTGACATTGTTACAGTACTCACAGATGTGAAAAATTCACACCAATGAACACCACACTTAAGCCAGATGTGGTGAGGCAATGAAAGAATTCTTCCATCAACCTAGCTACCACAACTCAAGGAAGTGAATTGCCTACACTGATGGAAATAAATACACTCTGTAGCTGTAGAAAGTATCTGCACTTGGACACTACAGGAGTGCTGCAGGAGGGTAGGTATACTGTTGTAGAGCTCATAGTGTTGACATGACCTAAGATTAGTCAAAATGCAGCAAGGACAAAGCCATAGAACCTGTGTCAGAGGTGGGAAAAATCTTTGGACATTTTGCAAGCCCAAATGCAGTTCAGAAATAACATCATTGATTATGGTATTTTAAGTAAACCCAGACAACACAATATTTTTGATCATACATTTTATAATAGGCAAGTAATTATTCTTTTCTTTTCTCAGAAGATTAAAACAAAATATAAAATTAGCCCGAAATGTCAAGCAAAATCTCTTTTAAAAAAAATAAAGAGAACAATAGGAACCCAGTATTTTCTCTGTTTAGTATGAGTATTTTTTCAGAATATTTCTTTGGATATTTAAGATGTTCATAGCTCTACAATAGAAAAAGAGTTTAAGACTCTCATCTTCTAATGATTTTCACAGCTATAGGGTTCTGGATCTGGCTAAGAGAACTTCAAAGCAGAGCTAACTTTGGCGATTACTTCCTGACAGACTCTTTTCCAAGCAAAGAACCATTCAGAAAAATAACCCTGTGATAGACAGATGGTATTTGGCTTTGGTTAACTCCTGCCTTTCAGTCTGATTTTACCACCTTTATAAGAACATTTTTGAATTCATTAGATCACAAGGGGAAAATAGCTTAAAACAATGTTTATCACTCTTCTATTTTTTCTTTTTTGATCACATTTGAAGTATGCACACTGGGGATGTGTGAATGAATATTTACAGATAAAATAATCTGGTAATTGATAGTCTTCATAAAGCTTATAATAACCTCATAGTGCCTACAGTGGTAACAAAACAAAAAAAAGATTCCAACCACACCAATAAAGAATACAGTGACATGCTCTTTTGAAAGGCCTTTTGTACTGTACAGCACCAAAAAGAAATACGTGAAACAAAGTAGGCCTAATCTATATTTAATTGGTCTTCTAGAGAACATCACATTACAGACTTATAGTACCATTTCATTCTAAATCTTTTTTCTTCCACATACCATCCAGAACCAAATAATATTGTTTTGGGCAGATTTTTTTTCATGCTAAGAGTCAACTGAAGCACAATTTTCCTTCAAAGGCTTCAACGAAAAAAAATTAAATGAAGAATCAAGAGAACCATTTTTATCCCCATCACGCCTAGAATCTAAGATGTTGTTTCACTGACACCATGATCAGGCTAAATAGGCTCTTACTAGCGAGCATGCTTTCGGGATACTTGCTGTGGCAAACTATTTTAAAAGCCACAAACTGTATTAAAAACAAACAAGAACAAATACAACATTATGATATTAACAGAAAACTGCAATGTGGGTCTGGGAGTACAGCTGCTGCCAACAGTTAGAGCAACTCAACAAAATATAGGACAAACATTTTGCTCTTAACAAATGGATGAAACCCCCACGCCACAATTATTTCCCTTTAGAAAGGTACACAGAGACCAGACACAGACGAGTTATAAAGCCCTGCACAGCAACAGCATATGTGCCAGCCTGCCCCTCTGAAATTCTTGCAGAAGGACATAGAACTTAAAAGACATGACGCTGGCCCTTGAATACAAAGACTGACTCTTCAAAAATCCATCTCAACAGAGAAGAAAGTCAATTTCTGGGAAATGAGCAGAGAATAGGTCACGTGGAGTCTGAAGTAAAAGAAACAAAGGAAACTGCAGAGGAGATTCCAAACATGGGAAAGTACTTATGAAAAACTATTCTTTGCTGGAGGGAAAATGGGAAGCACTTAAGACCCAACTCAGGATTAGAAAT